AAAAAAAAAAAAAAAAAAAAAAAAAAAAAAAAAAAACCCTAATAATAATAATAATAAAAAAATAACATACCCATATACGTACATAAACATACATACGCGCAAACTGTAAATATATATATATACACATGTAAGCAGCGAAAGTAAATAAAATACAAAAAGAATACATCAAATCATACGCAGTCAATCAGAAATGCAACAGCAAAGGAAGAACAGTACATTTAAAAGAGTGGTGAAATGGTCAAGCGTACCTCTCAGAACATTGCTAATTTTTCTCCAATAAAAGTGCACTTCTTAATTTCCATGCCCGACAAGCGTACGATTTACAGAATTTATCAAATAAGAGGGCAATATCATTATTAACCATGTGTTCAGGATAAATATTATAGAAAAAATCGAAGCTTGCTAAGACGTATTGTAGTTTTGTACATAAATCACTGGATGAAAAGTCTATCCAGACATTAACACAGTTAATAGAAATTAAATCATTTTTCAACTTAATTAATTCTTCAGATCTGATACATTCTAAGGGATTACACACAAAAAGAAAATGTTTAGTATCTTCCTCTCCATAACCACAGATCTCGCACACGGCGCTCTTCTTTTTACACATGGAAGAAAACTTTATCACTAGAGTGCGTCCGGCCATACGATTTTGCTATATTGTTGTTTATACTGATCAATAGGCTTAATTGTGTGTTTTATTTGGATAATAGCAAAGATTTCTACCTCCGCTAAGGAATTATGTATTCACCGTTGTCAAGGTCTGGGTACAATTGTACTAATTGTACAATTGTGTACAATGTTTAAATTGACAATTAAATACGCGACAACTTGGTGACGAAAGTTTGGTTGAAGTTTTTTAGATCCAGCCGTAAGGGGCGTCCCATTGTTGTACTCCCACCATGCATTTCGGTGGAACACTTTTTTTGTGTGGAGAACTCTATCTTGTGTTTCTATTATCTTTGGTATTATACTCTTTGCTAGTACTGTAGTACCATGGAGGTATTATTAAATATTGAGAAGTTTTACAAGGATACAATACAAAG